ATCACAGAGGAAAAGGTGGGTGGCACATACACACCAAAAGTAAGGATTTGTCCAGCTCTTGTTGAAAAAAATTTTCAATCTGCTGTTAGTTAACAATTGCCTCCTCCTTTTATGTGGGAATCCTAATAAATTAGGAATTAAAATGTTATTTTTTTCTGCACAGAAGTTCTTGATGAGTTTTATTTAAATGATTTTTAAAAATTGGCCTCTACGTTTCTTTTTCAAATATTAAAGGCCACCAGTGAGTTTCATTTGCCTTTTGCCTTCGTGCTTTTAACAGGGAATGGCAGTGGTGGAGCAGCACAGCGCCTAGCCGAGGGTGAAGGACGTCCTCACGAAGCACAGGGTGGCAAGGACAGTGAGAGTGGATTAGATTAATCACTTTGGAAAAAAACAGACCAAATCTGGAGCACAGTGCCAGGCTGGATGCATGCGGTTGTTCTCAAAATGCAGAGTTCAGCAATGGGACCGTTAGTTAAAAACGACGTTAACAGTTACTGTGACATGAAAACCACCACCTTCAACAGGAGGACTCGGCCTTTCAGTCAGTCAGAGGCTGCTGCGGCCTCCAGCATCTGACTGCCCTTCAGGGCAGAAGTTTTGGTGCTGTCAGAGTGAAAAAAGCCCGCGATCCTCTGTAACCCAGCACGGGCCTTGTGTTCCCACTGTCAAAGCAGCTGGAGATCCCTGGGCTCCTTCAGGGCAGCTGGCAGCGTTCACTGCTTTTAAAGTGAGGGCACTACTGGTTTAAGGTTAAATTCCACTCTCTTCTGTCATTTTTTCCCTTGCATCCTTCTAGAAATTACTTAGTTAAATGTTTCTATCTTAGGGTTTCATTACACACGTAGTTTCAATCCATCATGTAACATGTTTCTGTCATTTGAACTAATTAAAGATCCTGCTTGTAACCAAACATATTTTTAACTTGTATCATCTCCTTACCAGTGTATGTCATAGCAAATGGACCTCAATGACAAACGGAGATTGCTTCTTACAGATCTGATATTCATAGACATTATGATTGCTTATGCAAAAACAGATGCAGAAATAGAATAACGTCCGTGCATGGAAAATCTGGTTTTACCTTTCAGGGCAATCTGTGATGAAGCATATATGTACGTCTGCCATTTTCATCATTTTTCCTTGTGATATACTTCTCGGGATCCAGATTTTGGATAGAACAGAAAAATAACCAGCCAGCCCTAGTGGCAGAACGACAGCTTTGGTGTAAAAAGCCGATCAAAGGAATTCTTTTCTCATCAGCTTCTCTCTTACACAACAGCGGTAGCCTTGTGCTGAAGTGAAACGGAGGATAACACCAGCGATGCCTCAGCCAGGTTTTCTTCTTCCCTTCCCTTTTCTTTTTCCCCTTCTCCTTCCAACCTAGAGAATAAAATTCAAGGAAGTGGAGATTGCTTGAGGGCAGTGCTTCCTCTTCGACACCGCAAAAAGAGTTGGGGGGAGTGGACAACTCTTGGGCAATTCTGCTGAGGCCTTAATGGCTCTCATTCCCTAACATGGGAGCAGCTGTGCCAGTCAGTTAACAAAATGATTGTACACTGTTTAAGCTCAACATAGAAGCACTGGCCTAATCTTCAAGGGCGGACGTTGGTTTTATGATATAACGAACAATCGCAACATCAGGAATAAGGTAGGCTTTAAGTGACCTCACTTCATTAAGCCATGCCTAAGTTTAGGTGGATGTCTCTTTACATGTATCTATAAATCTCTAAGAATTTGTAATAAATAGAATTGAAGAGTCTTGTAGATGTGCACATTTCAAGAAAAAAAATAGTACTATGGGCTTGTTGAAAAGATTTATGTCCAATTAGCTGGGCTTAGGTGCCATCTGGTGGTAAGAAAACCGGTCCTAACCGTAACACACAATGATCCTAAAAGCCCTCAGGGAAGCCAACGCTACTGCTTTAAACTTCAGCCATTTCCCACATTCCATCAGTAAAAAGATGCTGCTAAAATCTTTGGCCTCCAGGACAGGGTGGGAGGATGAGCCTGTGGAGAACAAGCCTGTCTGAGAGCATCTTCATAGGAATCTTCTCTTTAGAAAGCTGCAAATGCTGCCAACAACGCTTGTGAGCTCGGGCCTAAAAAATATCTGCTTCCTGTTCTGCCAGAAAGCTGGATGAGGTCAGGTTTTATGCTGTGTTTTAGTGTGCCTGTCCTGGTACCCCCTATTACACTAAGGACCAATAAGCAGGAAGGACCATATTGCACTTAAAAAAATGTGTATAAACAAAGGATTTTTAAAAAGTAATTCCAAGAGCAAAGATTGAGCTCTATTATCACTGAAAGCAAGGAAAAAAGGATAAAAAAATGCAATTTCAAGACTATAGATTCTTTTACCCCGATCCTGATTTTATCAGATATACCCACTCTGACCAGCACTTTAATTTGAATTCAGCTGCTTTCTGAGCTGCATTTACTTTGCCACATTTTACACACTAGATCTCTCCAACTCCTGTTTTTCGCACAGATGATCGCGACCCACCTGTGGGCCCTACATTATCTCACAGGCGAATTGCCCACGCTTCTGGAAGCTGTTTTCATTTATCAGTGAGGACCTGGGAAGGAGGAAAGGAGTAAGGGGTTGGCGAAAGTAGCGAGAGAAATGCCAGAGCAGGACTAAATGAGAAAAAGGAAACAAATTTAATTAGTGTTTTCTGTAAAACTTTACAAATGTACAGCATAGTGCAAAAACGCAGTCTCAGCACATCACCTTCAAATAAAATTAACGAGGTAAAAAGCCAAGGAGCGCAAGCTTGCTTCTTCACAGGAGCAGCTCTCAAATACTCTTCCCGGAGTTTCCTCCCTCACCGTCAAGCTCCAATCTCATGTTTATAGTAGAGCAAAAAGCCTAAAGAAAAACCCAAGAACCACCCCGAGCGGCTGCTCGCAGCAAGCGCAGGCTGTTGCTTTGCTCCGTAACAAACGCTGTGGCCCGAGATGGCATCAGGCACCCTTGTGGGTTGAGCTGCACCTTTGTCTACTGGCAAGCAGCTCTCTAAGATGGTTCACTTCTCAGCCCCAACCAGGCAACCCGGTAAGACGCTGAGGCGTGTGCCTAACCTCAAGCATGCGATAGGCTTCCTAAAAATATGGGAAATCTACTCAGGAGCTTGAAGTTAAGCACATGCTTAAATACCTTATTGGATCAATACATTCAGTGTTAACATTACGGCAAGCTAGGGTGTGAAGGTTCAGAGAAGGATGTAAATCTTGATCGGGGATAACATACGCTGCCAGGTGATATCAGACACCAGACACGTTTTCAATTACCTAGGAGAAAAGAAGTAAACAGAGCGCAACTCAATGACTTTCCATTGCCAGAAATGACAAAACACAATGGCAAATGGGCTGATCTAGGTGAACTTTCTAAGCACAAATCCGTCAAAAAGGAAAACCTTCTTCATGATACACTCAAGCACATCATCTAAATACCAGGCCAATGGGGGCTGCCAGAATTTTCCCTTAGTCCTGAACACAAAAACAGTGGCTGGAATTAATTTGGAAGCTCTCACCGCCTCGCTCCTGCAAAGAGCGCACCACCGGGGTGGTGACAGAGCCCCCAGCACACAGTAGTGAGCCAGGGAAAAACGTGCTCGGGAGTGAACGTTTCTGAACTAACACATTTGTTCACACACCGATAAATGGATGGAGGAAAGGGCTGCGAGAGGAAGGTCCATTTATAACATGCTCATCTTATTAAGGAGAATTTGAGCCTGCATTCATCTGATTTGATTGACTGCATTTTGGGGTAGATGCTGCTTGACCATTCAAGATGCTTGTAAATATGGTTTAGAACCAAGAATTGTCATGGCAATGAAAGTGGGCAGAGCACCTCTTTAAACAAAACTGGCATGGCTTATGCCTCCCTGTCTAAGCCCTCAGGAGGCCTGAGTTGAATTTCCTGGGTTTGTCTTATGGCATTTGGGGAGCTTTCCTAAGGAAAAGCAACTCAGAGGATGCTGACATAAATCATATGTTCTCAGAACTACAGCATAAAAAACAAAGCTCTGCTTTGTTGAGAAACTCAGTTGTCAGAAACCACATGGAAGAGAAAGATTAATTCAACCTTTGGAGGCCGGCCTCAGGTGTGCAAAGGACAGAAGAAAAGTCAGTGGGACAAGGTGGACTAAGCCTTCTGCCCCTCTCCTACACTGAGCAGCTGAGAGTCCTTCTAAAAAAGGGATCTGATCGATTAAACTGGTTCATCAGGTTTTATACATCAATAAACCACCAGGGGAAACAAAACAGGTCAAGGCCAAGGAAGAAAGTCATCAGGACTGGACATTAAATACTTAGCCAGCACCAAAACCCAGAGTGTGAGCTCTCAGACCTCTTTGCAAAGAAAACTGTGTGTGCAGAAGACGATCCCTTTTTTTCATTTAAGTATGGGGTGCCCTGCCTTTATGTTAGAGAAAATAAATTGGGAAACCAATTTATTTTCCAAACCAAATTATTAACCAAACCAAACAACAAACCCTCTCAGTTCAGCATGGGATGTTTCAGGGTCTGTGACGGTCCGTAGCTCCCCTAGGAGCCAGAGACACATTCTTGGGGTGGTCGCTCAGAAAACGATCTGCATACTCCGAGGGCTCTTCATTTTCCTACTCACCCTAGGAGGATAAGGGAGAGGAACAAATACATCCCACCAAAACCAGAAAATGGATAATAGAATATTTTTAGAGCATTGGACTGGCATATAGAAACATTTTCCTATTTGAAAAACAGCATCCAGAAGGGTCGTGCATCTTAGCTAATCTGTGCTGCCCCAATAAAATCTAACCATTTGCCGTTGCAGATGCTAGTCAGGATCACTTTATTTTATCAAGACCCTGATGTACTTTCAAGCTATTCTTCACTTAAATTTTTATTAGAAGACTTGAATTTTCTGAAAGCCTTTTCAAGAAAAAAAAAATCCTGCCAAGTTCTCACTCCCCCTAGGAGCAAGTGCCAGAAGCCACATTTTGTTTTAAAATTGTCATCCTGGGCAAACACTGAAATCCAGGCGCAGGGAGGGTAACGCAACAGCTACCAACCGCTTCCATCTACTCAAAGAGAAAGGACACAAAAAGAAACTCTCTTGTGGGTTTCTGAGTCACTTTTGTTTCTTTACATTCAAACCTGTGGATGCTTGGATGGGTGGGAGGGAGATGTTGTTTCTTGGACACTGACTCACTGGTTGTTGTCAGTTGAAGAGCTGAGGTTTAATGGAATGTCCCCTTGGACCCCCACAGAGGACAGGTAGGAAGCCGTGTTTTCAGGTGGAACATAAAGCGATGAACTTTCAGGCAAGCTGATGAGGTCGTTTCCAAAGATCGACTGACGATCAATGAGGAACTGCTGGGTGCTTTCAAGAATGACATCTTAAAAAAGGCTGCAAACGGACAACAGAAAACTCAGTTCTGGAGGGCAAGTGACCGTACTTTATGTACATAGAACTGAAAAGTGGCAAATCCCCACTGCAGCGGGAGGGGAGGGGCCTCACTCCAAGCAAAAAACCGCATGGAAACACTTGAGTCAAACTTGGACTCACTCAAAAGCCCATTAAAATCAATGGGAGTCTCTCCAGGTTGCCAAGCCGGGTTCTGCCTGAATGCTGAGTGTTACCAACCATTTGACCATCCCTTGTTGGCTTCTTGTGAGGCAAGTGTGGTAAGGAGGAGTGAAAGAGGGGTGACCAAATGGTTGGAGACACTGAGAAGCAGGTAAGAGCAACTTCTCTTCTTCACTCCAGAACTGTGTGCTTTTCCTCATCTTTGCGGGAGACATCTGTTGATTGCCCCAGCACCACGCCACCGCGTGGGCCAGAAAGGCTTTGCAAACAGGGACACTCCTCTCGTGCAGTTCAGCTCCAGCCTGCTTCAGAATTCTCTCCAGTGTAGCTGGGCTTTTAACGCCTTTGCTGCTCCTGCAAGATGCTGAGCCTAAGGCGAAGGCTGAAAATCCTTGAACTACACAAAATACATCAAAACTCTGCAGTGGGGCCAGGTGGCTACAACACAAAACTAAGGCTCACAAAAGCTTCTCTTTCAGGTCTAACCCAGCTGAATACACATGAAAATAACAATATATCACTATTCCAAGAGCAGGAAAACACTTCTAGATTCATATCTAAGGTCAATGCGCAGTTCCCCCGAGGTCTGGAAAAACTGAGACATAACCTTTGCCTCTGGTTGCTAGCAGCTACCGGGTCACCTCCTCTGCAGCAGGAGCCAGAGGAAACGCAGGACCTGTGCAGCTCTTACCACCCCTACCCACTCAGATCACCACATTGTCCTTAGGTGGCGATGAACAGGCAGAGAAACAGTGGAGTCACTGATAGATATGACCCAAGCAGGGTGGTTCAATTACATTTCAACGTCAGTTTATCCCCCACACTTTTCCCACTGCTCAGTAACTAGCTTACAGCTGTTGTGGAAGCATTGCTGACTGACAATCATGAAGGTAAAATAAAAAATGTGGTTTGTCCCCTCAAAGTGGCAAATGGGCAGGGCCAGACATTGCATCTTGCTGCTGACATGTTTAACCCCTTAATTACACCCCCATTCCCAAGCCTGCAAGAGCTGCTAGCGCTCCTACCTGGGCAGGTGTTGTTAAACGGTGGGTTGAACACTTTTGGGGACAGCTCAGTTGCATTCTTCTCCAGATCCACTGCGAGTCGCTGCATCTTGATGCAAAAATATAAACTACAATGTACAATTATACAAAGACAGGGGCGCTTGTTAGAACTAGGCCATTCAGTGCTTCATCAATGCTGCACAACACCCACCAGTAACGCAAGCTATCCTCCCTGCCCTGCCTCTCCTCCCAGCCTCACCCGTACTCCGTTAAAATAGCCAAAGCGTGCGCCCAAGGGCAGGTATGCCTGAAGGAGCGGGCTAAGGGACATGCAATCCCCCACGAGCACTGGCTAATATGGTGTGAAGCTCAGGTCATATGAGGAGGCCAGGCTGGCGTTGCTGCGGCTGTCCCTGCCCAGCTGCCATACAAAGCAAAATACTGAAGAAATTCTCTTTCCATTTGCCTATGACGGTCTTTAAGCGAAACTAGCTTTCACTTGCACAGTGCTTCTAGGTACGGAGTTGCTGCAGGTATTACTTCCAGGCTTCTCGACGCTCATGTCTTTCTGTAGGACAAGCAAGCCTAAGGGTAGGCTGCACCAGATGCTGGGAAATTCAGTGAACTCGAGGACTGACCTACTGAACATTGCGGCCTTCCTCTTGGCCGCCTTTCTCATGCAATCCTTTTTAAGAGAGACTCTTGCTTCTGAGACTTGCTAATATCATCTATCTTCAGAGACTCTCCTTCCTAATACCGAGGAAGTGGAATTACCAAGTAAATGCAAAAATTATGAAATCAAAACCTTAAAAGGATAGCAATATAATGAAGAAGGCTTAGAGACCTTTCGCACTTCATTAGAATAGATTACGCTTTGCTTCTGCATCTTAGAGATGGCCAAACCATCCAGGTATTTATCCTACCTGGCTGGCAGTCAGGGCTATTAAACTTCACCCTCTAGCAAGCAGGAAAAAAGCCCGGTCATGAAACACACATTTCCTTCACTGTTTATTAAATCACCATATGCACTTTAGAAATGTCTGACTCAGTGTCGATTCCGAACAAATGCTGCCAAACTGAATTTCCTTGTTTCTTCTGTACGGGTGTGCGTGAACCTCTGTTCTAATTGCATGTGGTTTTACCCTCGTGAAACACGCAGGGATGGCTGCACTTTATCAAGGCATATTTTATAAAGGGCTTTGGCACAAAGACACTTTGTGAATCTATGGTATTAGCGGATGTGACATTGACACTAAGAGAAAGTTTAGAGCAGCCAGCTTCAATTAAAGACTCCAGGACACCGAAACATCTCTAAACAAGCTCTGGCTGAGCAGGAAAGATGGGTTAAGAGTATAAGATAACACTCTCAGCCTACCTTCAGGAGATGCTTATTGCTGTGCTTTACCACTCTCCCCTCTGGCTATAAAATAACCAAGCATTCTTCAGTTATGCACCAGCTGTGCTTCATAATTACATTATTATTATTATTATTATTATTATTATTATTATTACTGCTACTACTACTACTACTCCTCAGAAATACACATCTCTTACCGGGGACAGACTGGCTTCCATTTCAGTCAAATTCCACTCACTCAAAGATAAATTGGGATTAAAGACCTGTTGGGAGAAAAACACAATTAGGGCTCTGAAAGATGTATAGCAGTTCGAGATACTTCTACCCTCAGCTGTCTGCCTTGCCTGTCTGCGGGAGGCTGTAGCCCTGCTGGCAGAGGTGCTGGAGAGCAACGCCTGCCTGTGCCCCAGCTGCTCTGACATATTAACCAAAGCTACAGGCCAAGGCTCATGGGCATTGATTTGTAGCAGAGCCAGAACAGCAAGGATCGAGTTGTGTGCACTTGTGCTGATCTGCTGACCTAGGGCCACAGCCATGTCATAAACCAGGGCAGCCATTTGTGTCACCACACGTGCAAGTCCAAGCCCTTTTTTTGCTGCTCTTGGATCCTAGGACACTTCCAGATTCATGTGGGTTTTTTTAAAAGCATTCCAAAACACGGTAGCAGAAGGCAGATTACTGCTGCATCGGTGCCTCAACAGCAATTTCTTGAGAAGTCTGAGCAATCTGGGAAAAGGATCTGTTGGTCTGGGGTACAGTTTTATGATTCATTCTCACTCTTGTGACGCTCAGTTGCACAGAGAGAGAAAAGTGTGTCAGTAACAGGAAAACACCTCCTAATGAGAAGCAAGAAACAGAAACCAACGGAGCCAGTGCCAGAGCAGGCCATTATGAAGGCTTTCTGTAAAGTCCGAATCAATCACAGAATATTTGGGAACTGCCTTTAAGAAGATAACATTGATTGTTTTATTTTTTAATGATTTTTCATTCCTGTTTATCCATGCAAGTTTAGCACATATAACTGAAGTGCCTCCTCAAGAGAGCATATCTTTGACATACAGATTCTTTTGCTACGTACAGAGTTACCTGATTATTGGCAAAACCCTTTCATATACTAACTAGATGTAAAAGGAGAGAGAGAGTGAAAGAGAAAGAAACAAACCTTTGTATTTCTGCATATATACTGAAGAAAAAAGCCACTATCCATTTCTAGAGAAAAGTGGCTTGGGAACTGCAGACAGACAAAGACCTCAGCAGACAGAGAATTCGGCATCGGCTACACTTGCCAGAACGTGAGGAAAAGTGGAAGGTAGCAGAGCTAAACACAATCTAGCAGTATCTAAGATGCAGAATATGCAAAAAATAAACCCACCCAAAGCAGTTGCCAAACTAGCAACAGAGTCATATTAAACCTATTTTCTATACATGTGTTAGGTCTCCTGATGGTGTCTTTACCAAAGGCACCGTGTTTTGTGCTCCTAGCAGTTCAGATATGTGTATTTTCAGAAGAAATGTAAAAAAGCATCACTTAATGTCTGAAATCCTGCCAGTTCCTAGAAGCAGGTCAAAACAGAGCTGTGACTCTTATTGGCAGCATGTGACAGGTAAGGTGCCACTCAAGAATAAGCAGCACGGTCTGCCTGATCTACAGCGCAAAAGTACCGCTGTGAACTTCGCAACTCCCCACAGCCGCCCCGGCAGAGGGCCCAGCACTCACATCCAAGAGGCTGGTGGGCTCCAGGCCGTACTGCTGGCTCCTCAGCAGCAGCTGCAGCCCTTCCAAGCTCCAGTCGGTGCCCTCCAGCGGGTCTGAAATATCTGTTCTGAGAAAAGACAAGAGGAAACATTGCCACAAATGAGACTTACAGAGATACGTATAGAAAGCAGGACTGAGCAGCCTTCCGACATGAGGTTCACGCTTAAATCTCATTTTGAAAACCAAGGGCCCTCTGTCAGCCTGGGTTTATGCCACTTCACTTGGATTAATCACCAAAGTACAACCCAGCAGAGCATGGAGGGGACTGGGCTGATGGTAAAATGGGTGAGACTGCTCCTCTCCTGGGTGACGCACATAGTTTGGGGATGGACAGTCTATGCACATCTCCTCAAGACTGGGAAAATTAGAGCCTTCCTTAGAGGAAATCCTTCTAGAGAGACACTTGGGATCCAGAACAGGCTGCATTCCCATCCTCCTGGGTCCAAGATGGCTGAATTACTATTAAAGGAGCTTTTAATGGAGTGGCTTTTACCTGCAGACACTCAGTCTGCAGGTTGCATTTACCAAAGAAAGTCAGCTAAAGGAGCAAATGTGAAGCTCTGCTGGTTTTAACCCCACCCCAAAAGCTATAAGAACTTCTCTTCAAATCGGCAGTCTTTAAAAGAGGATGTTTTTTCTTCTAATAAAATGTTTTTAAGTAGCCAGTGGAGTTCAGGAGGAGGAATGTGGTTCTCTGTAAGGACCCAAAGGAAAATAGAAGCCTTTCTGATAACTCTATTGAGTGTGGTGTTTTCCCTTGCCAGTCGTCACACATTGCCGCAGTTGCCATGAAGAATGAATGCTGCAGTTAACTTTTACTTCATCCACCAAGCTGCAACCACCCTTTCCTCCTGCTGGTGAAGTCTGCTCTATGCTCACCCAGGACACTGGTGCTGTTGGGGTTTCAGTCCCACAGCTCTAAAGCTGCTCACCCATATCACCCCGTGGCTGAGCCTAATGACACTGTCCTAATCCCCCTTGCAAGAGGACGTCATTCTCTGGGGGACTGTCACATGCAGGATACTTGCGTGCCCTGGCTTCAAAATAATGAAACCTCCATCCCTTTGTATCAGACCTCTGCACTCAGCGAACACAAACTCCCAACTCTCCATCCCTGGGAGTGACCTCACTTGCTATTTCATGATTTTAAGGCATATACCCTTCTATAAAGCCTTGCTTTGGACTGCCTAGCATTTTACTGAGCCCCTCCAGTTCAAGGAGACAAGCAGAGCAATGCACCTAAGTTTCATGGGTTTTTACTCTTAGTCAGAGATGGGGAGGCCAAGATCTCTCACAGCGTCGGCTCCGCGGTACCTCCCCAGAAGCATGCAGCCCACATCACGGTGCCCAAGTGGCTGGCTGCCCCCTGGTATCAGATCTAGCACTGACTCAGGAAAGTCACCTTGGAAAGGTGACAGGAGGAGATGCAAAGGGAGAACAGACTAAAGAGAAAAGTCTATTTAACTTCACAGCACAGGAGAGGAAAAGAAAGGGGGTGAATTATTTCCTTCTCAAGCCCAAGCCTGGGACTGATAAATACTTTGATGCCTTATCAAATATATGCCCTACTTAGTGCAAAGATTATGGTGATGATTGTCATCTTCCATCACCGCCTGCATATTGGCACACGTGACACCTTATTCACTGCACAGAAACACCAGCGACAAGTATTTCCTTATGAATTCATGTAACTGAAGACACCACAAAACAAATGACAGAGGGCACACAAGCTGCTGGAGGTGTAGGGCGGTCCGGTGGCCTGCAAGACTGCAGACATGGATGCTGGTCTGGGCTCCAGCTTTCACTGGGACATTGGGCAAATCCCTCTCACTGCAGAAAGCCTCTTCCCATTCCTATGACTCAGATGTAGGTGCTCTGACAGCTTTTCCTCTGTTGGGTCCTTCAAGTCATCCACAGACCCTCTACCTGTGTGAAATGTCCCTTGGGCTTCAAGGGTCTCCTAAGCAGGTGCCACAGGCACAGGATGGAGCTCACCAGGCTGCATTAGGCGATGTAAAGTCAGCCTCCCTTTCTCTCCCACTAGTGGGAAAAGAGGGCCATGAAACATGCAGGACCACAGCTCTCCCTCGCTCCCCTCACCTGTCCAGCAATGCCCTTCTGCCTCTTCGCTCGGATGGTTGCGAGGTCCCTGGTGGGGCCGCACCGCAGCTCCCTTTGCCTTCCAAAACAGACTGAACCATGGCAACCGGGAGCACTGGGGGCTCAGAGCAAGCTCTGCAGCCTGGCAGCGGGACATCAGGCTCAGCAGTGGCTTTCACTCCAGGGCTGACTGGCTCTTCCTTGATCAGCATGAGGCACTTCTCTCTGTATCAGAGACAAGAGTTAGCACCACACACATATCTGCTCCACAAAGGCCTCGTGCTACTGGGAAGGGCAATGGCACAAGGGCTTCTCTCCACTTCCCATCAAACTGCCCCACAGAGTCTTTCCATTCCCCTCGATGGGCAAAAGGAACCAGCAACCTTGTTTTCTTTTCAGCAAGCTCCAGAAACATGCCCAGCTGGAATATCTTCACTCACTTCATCAGCCACAGATATAATTAATTTGCCCCATTCGACTGTTTTGCAAATATGGAAAATACACTTCCATGTGCTGGTCATTCCTCAGATGAATTTGGGCTTGAGACAGGTTAAAGAGTCACTAGGCTAGAGAGATTCCCCTGAAAAAGAAAAATCTCCACCCTAGAGACAGGAATGGGATCAGCAAGACCTTCCCATGCTGGAGTTAGGATTGGACCAGCAAGCACTTGAGATCCCAATGACACAGGCTGGGATATTACAGCTCTGCAGGATTTGGAACAGAACCTATCAAGATCTGACAGTCCCCATCAGACAGTTTACTTGTTTGGAAGCAGAGGTTTGCCTTTTTCCAGTGGGAGAGGCACTCCACGTTATTCCTAGCTGGACATACAACACTGAAGTTTTGAACAGTAGCTTTTTATACGTAAAAATCTACTCTGGACTACTTACAGGAGAATCTACAGCTCTCTGTGAAACTGCACAAGTGGAGCCAAAGTGACAAAGGCATGCAGATCAACAGGCACAGGGCATGGAAAGCCATGCTGAAGAAATATCCTACAACACTTACAGACTAGCTTTGCTGCAAGACAACACACGAGGGTGTCACGCATATGGGCTGGTATGTGACACTACAAAGCCTTCCCCGGCATTCC